CCAGCAGGAAGAGCCCCAGGAGCCCTTTCACCCCCAGTAATGGCATGTAGGTGAGGAAGAATCGGATGTAGAAGGTCAGCATCCAGGCCAGGTCCTGCCAGAGAGGAGACAAAGAGAAACCTGCACTGGCAGCCCCAGAAATCAGCACTGTAATCCCAGTCTTCCCATTCTGCCCCCCACAACACGTGCCATCTGAAATACAGCCCTGAAGACACCCGCCCCCCTGTCCTTACTGCCCATAGGGTTTAGCTTCCCTCCACTCTCCAGCACATAATCAGCCTGATCGGGTCATGGGCCAAAAGGCGGCACATGCTGAAAGGTCATATCTGGTTCCCCTCTGAAGCCAGAATGGGCAGTGAGGGTAAAAAGGAGAGACTCTGGAGGTGGAAGGGGAAAAGCAGCAGCTGCTAGCGACAGCCTTATTCTGCCTCATTTCCCTCCCACCATTCCTTGTTCCTCTTCCCTTTCCAGCAGGCTTTTCTCCGGTACTTATTCTCTTTCCTGCTTTCATCCTCTCTCAGCTACTTTTCTGCTCAGTCAAGAATCAGATCCACCTGGCACCTAAATCTCAGGATAGAGCTCTTCCTTTTCTGCATTTGCCTCCCAACCCTCATAACTCCCTTTTGTCCCAGCATACCCCCCACCATGCTCCTCCCCTGAATCCCCCATATTCTCCCTGGTCCAGTCCACTCTGGAGGTCTGGGCTCTAGGCCATAGGGAAGGCCGAACAGTGTAAAGGGGAGATAATAAAGCCTCTGCAGGCAGGGAGAAGTGACACATGAGGCACCCAGGATCCTGACACTGCTCTGGGTGCGCTCTCATGCTGGGCTGTAGAGCAGGAGCTTGGAGGCTCCACCACCAAAACAGAATGGGAGAAGTAGGAGAAAGGGGCCTCCCCGCCCCAGGAGAAAATCTACTTTTTTTGTAATGTACTTGTCCTAGGCAGACAAGGCACCAAATCCCATTATCAGCTCTTCTCATTTCTACTCTGTTCTTTCCCGTTCCCCTCAACTTTCAATGGTTTTCCTCCTCAGGCAGCCACAGAAGGGTAAGCACTGTCCTCCTTCCTGGCCCAAGCCAGCAACATGTGCCATCTGATGATCAGGCACCACAGAGCTACTCCAGCCCCACAATTTGAGAAGACAGACTCAGAGACCCTTGCTGACTGACTGCCATTCCTGCCCAGCAGCAGAGACCTGACAGCTGCCTTTCTTACCAGAGTAGGAGCTGGTCCCGCACAGACCAAACAACACATGCATTAGGTGACAGACACCCAAGCTCAGAGGATTTGGCACCACTCAAACACCTGGCCACTGTGTCACAGAGGAACATGGTGACCAGCCACTAGAGGCTCAGGTCCTTCCCTCTGATATTTCAGTGCCAACTCCTCACACCAAACATTATCCAGAAAACTAGAGGGAGATACCACCAGGTCTGGCAAAGCGGGAGATACTCACCACCCACTGTCTACGCTGCACTGCGAAGTAGAATATGTACCACTGGAAATAGAGGGGCACCAGGGCTGGGGGGCCAACTAGGAGAGAGGAAAAAAGAATGTGGAAACATGAAGCATTAATTGGAGGATTCTGGTGATGGCTGGTACTGCCCAGGAGTGGAAATACTCACTTATAAAGAAATATTTGTGCTGGTGATTGTAAGGCATAAACTTCTTCTTCTTCATCCCTAGCTGTGAAGGGAAAAGAGAATACAGCAGGTTATCTGGACTACAGAGACACTTATACAAGTACTTCCACTGCTCTCCCTGAAAGAGGGAGAGAGATTCACAAATCCCCTACCAACTCTGTCAGAAAAAATGACCATGTAAAGATCTCCCAGAGAGAAGCCACATGAGGTCCCATCAGTTGTCTCTTCATGCCAATATCTCTCTCAGCACCACATGACCCTATTTTATATTTATGTTATATTTTCTAGAGAGGCTACTCCCCACTCTGCTTCTGACTTACAACTGGCTAGTCTAGGTCAGTGTTTCTCAACCTTTTTTTATAAAGTACCCCTTTCCCCCTCTCCCCCCAAAAAAGTACCCTCTTTTTAAAAAAAAAATAAGTGCCCCCCAGTACTTACAGTTTTCAGTCACAATTTTTTTTCTACCATTGCAACACATTTGTTTAATCAATGTAATCATAGCTGGGCAGGTGATGAAATTTTTGGGTGTAAAAAGTACAAAAATAATAAAGCGCTGTAAAACTTAAAACAAAAATTCAGTTTTCTCCAAATTTCAATTCTGTTGATGTACCTCCCAGACTTCTCTCAAGTACTCCTAAGCAGGAGTGGCCTGAGGCCGGCTGCAGCAGCTGGCGCCCTAGGTGGAAGGCGCGATTGGCGCCCCCGTCTGCTCGGCCGTCAATGGCCGTGACGTCATCATAGGGCACCCGGGCCGGCGGCTCCCTAGGCAACTGCCTAGTCTGCCTAGGCTCACGGGCCAGCCTTGCTCCTAAGGGTATTGTACCACTGGTTGAGAAACACTGGTCTAGGCCCTTGAAATGTGAATGCTAGCATGCACCACAAGCTCTACCCCAGCAGGGGGCACTGAAGCCACATCACAAATGTAATCCTATTTATTATTCTGACCAATTCCAGGGTTTTGTCTTATCAAAAGTGTTCTCTAGAGACTAAAGAGCTGATAAGTCCCACACAGACAAATGACGGCATTCACTACCAAATTTTATCAAAGCTAATGTTAGAAAGGTACATAATACACAGCTTAAGAAATGAGAATCGGTACATCTGGTATTGTGCTTAGATAGTATCCACCAAATTTGTTTTTAAAAAAAATCATATGATACTTATAGTACATAATCATCAATAAGCCAAATATAGGTGAATAAACTTTATAATGCACTTTGGATATTGACACCTAACTATTTGGCTACATTATTCGTGAAAAGACATACAAAGAGTTGGCTGCAGAAAGCAAATATATCAATGAATGAAGATTGACCCTCAGTAACTGAGAATTTAGGGTACGTTGTCCATTAGAAAATACAGTCCATCAGAGAAGTATTTGAAATTACTTTCTTGACTGTGCTTCTCATTGGCAAGTAATACATCCAACAGCAAGCCATGTGCACAGGTTTCTCTGTGCTCTCAGGATTAACTCACACCAGCCTGTTAACCAAAGGAAGGAGATTGCGAAGATGGAAGACAACACACACCCAAACCTCTCTAGGGTTTTGATCACCACCCAATCCATATCCTTCAACTCAGTCACTGGGACTCAGAAAATAGGAATGCTTTGATGTGTACTCAGTTATTGTTTGTGATGTTGCTGCAGCCATGACGGTCCCAAAATGTTAGAGAGACAAGATGGGTGAGATACTATCTTTTAGTGGACTAGCTTCTGTTGGTGAAAAAGGCATGTTTCTGAGCTACCATGAGGGACGTGAAGAAGAGCTCTAGGGTAGCTCAAAAGCTTCCCTCTTTCAACAACAGAAGTTGGTCCAGTAAAAGATATTACCTCAGCTTCCTTGTCTCTCTAAGTTAATAAAGCACATCTGCGAGCCAGCCCAGATTAGAGCCATCACCTTTGTAGAGAAGGAACAGGTGATCCTACTCTGCTCCATCCTTCCTCTACTGAAAGAATGAAGATCAGCAAAATGGCTCCATGTGGATGATTCTAATCCAGAAAGCTCCCTCTACTCTGGCATGCACAAAAGGTCCCACCACATGTGCATGAGAGAGTGCTTATCACCTGGGTGATACACATAGGCCAACAGACAGACCTGTAGCTGAATTTTGCCTTCTGTAATGCTCTGGAATAAACCAGGGACCAGGAGGATCTTGGATCTGAGATGGACTCTTCTTCATCACCAACAATACTCATGTCAGTAGTCTCTTTGAAGCCCAGTGGTACTAGTCTTGTGCTTAAAGTTAAGTACATGCTGGACTGGGGTTTTACTCTACACTATAACTTGCTATTGATAGCAGAAGCTGGCAATATCCCATAAGGTTGCCTTCTAGCTGTTTAATACAGTTCCTAGCACTGGGAAAATGCACATGGTACAAAGCACAATGTGTATGCTATGCAAAAATACAAAAACTAAAATAAAACATGATGCTATTAATACACGTAGCAGTGTTTAGAACCTCCACCCACATCAGATTAACTTGGAAGTAACTTGGAGAAGTCATCTAGTCCAGCACCCCATGCTAATGCAGGACCACATAGTATCTTGATACCCCTGATGGGGGGTTGCCTAACCTGTTCTGAAAAATCTCCCCGATGGGGATTCCACAGCCTCCTGAGGTAATCTGTTCCAATGCTAACTATAAAGGTTTTCCACCTCGCTGCAAACTAAGCTGATCACTTCGGTTACGTCTACCCAGCAGCACTGTTTCAGAATAATGGACATTATTCCGAAATAACAAAGAGCATGTCTATACTACAAGCTTTTATTTTGAAACAATGCTGAGCAGAAGGCCATCTTACTCCAACTCCTGTAACCCTCGTTTCACGAGGAGCAAGAGAAGTTGGAGGAAGAGTGTTCTTCCTCGGACTTCCTGCTGTGTAAACAGCGCCACAAGCTGAAATAAGCTATTTCGACTTAAGCGATGCAATTGAAGTAGTTGAAGTTGTGTAGCTTATTCCAACTTTAACCTTGCTGTGTAAATGTACCCTTTTTTTCCTACTTTTGGAGGACAAGGAGAACTAATCACTGTCTTCTTTATTACATCTCTTAACATTTGAAGCCTGTTATGTTCTTCCTCAGCCTTGTTGCCTTGATACTTCACAGGCACAGGGTATTTTTAACCTTTCTTCACTGGGAAGATTTTTTTTAAACCTCATGTAATTTTTGTTGCTCTCTTCTGGATTCTCTCCAATTTGTCTACATATTTCTTAAACTGTAATACTCCAACTGAAGCCTCACCAAGCAGAGTGGAAGAATTACCTCCCAAGTCTTGCCTATGACTCTCCTTAATATATCCCAAAATGTTATCTGCCTTTTTTCTCCATCACGCTACACTGTTGACTCATATTCAATTTGTGATCCATTATAATCTCCAGATCCTTCTCTCCAGTACTGCTGCCTATCAACTTATTCCTCATTTTGAATTTGTGCATTTAATTCTTCCTCCTAAGTGTACTACTTTGCACTTGTCTTTATTGAATTTCATCTTACTGATTTCAGCTCATTTCTCCAATAGATCACTTTGAATTCAAACCCTGTCCTCCAAAAAGCTTGCAACTTCTCCCAGCCATGTGTCATCCACAAATTGTATAAGCATACTCTCCACTCCATTATCCCAGACACTAATATAGACCCTTGCAGCACCCTATTGGATATGCCCTATCAGGTTGATAGTGACCCATTGCTAACTATTTCTGAAACTGTTCTATTAATCAGCTCTGCATCTATTTTATAGTAACTTCATCAGGACCATATTTCCTCAGTTTTCTTACAAATATATCATACTGGAATTGTGTTAAAAACTTTACTAAAGTCCAGACATATCATATCTACTGTTTCCCTGCACTGACTAGATCAACAACTCCTCAGTTCCAGGGAAAAGTCTGAGCCAGTAACTATATTCATGTTTTAAAAACCCAAATGCCAAAACCGTTTCCAGAAATGTTACACCAGGGATGCATCTGCACTCCCGCTGGGACCCATTCCAAATCTCACAGAAACCTACTCATAGATCCCCACTGATTTCAGTGGGCTTATGGGTGCAGCACTGAATTAGCTAATGTTTTGGCTGAGCTACAACATAGGATGCTTGAATCACTCATGTTTGCTAGCAGGTGCTTCACTCGTTGGAGCACCAAAATTAGCCACCCTAATCTGAAATTAGCAAAACAAGCCACTTGTATCCAGATCTATATCTCATCACAGCCCTCCTCCAGCTGAGAAAATGATTACTGACTCATCATCATGGAGCAATCTTTAACACATTCTAAATCACAGCCAAAAAAAAAGCAACTTTTAATGAAGTGTAACTGTATAGAAAGCTGAATGAATTATAACAAGCTATTTGGAGGGCGAGACAAAGCAATGTTAAATATAGTACAACATTTCAAAGGAGAGTAATTTTTATACTGATTCAAAAGCAGTTTAATGGACTTTCTCTTTGGTCTCCTGAGTAAATCTGGGAAAACACATTTAGCCTGAAAATTTCAAATCAAGGTTATATTAGAATAAAAAAATAATGGAAGCTGGTTGCAACCCTAGTTACAGGGAGGCTACTGCCTCTCCATCATCTCTCACAAGAAATTGGATTTTGAGCAAGAGGACTGTCTCTCCCAACACTGCCCCAGAATGCCTGAAATGCAGGGACAACCCAGCTGTTCTGCAGCTGTGCTTAATAGTCAGTGTTCTCCCCTACTTGATACTGCTGCCTGATTTTGGATCCTTTTATTGAAGTATTCTTCCAGTGACCCAACCTGCCCCAGACATCCCTCAGACTCACCTCCACAGACAGCGTCTTTCCCAAAGCAAAAAACAAGGGGTGCATGTTAACATCAGGGTCCTTGCGGAAGCAGTTGGGTTTGGCATGGTGCTGGAAGTGCAGATGATTCCACCAGCTTGCTGGTGCACCCTGCAGGAACAAACGAGACCAAACCTTTAATGCTGCCAAATACAAGTCAACTCCTCCACTATCCATGTACCTTTTGGCCTTTTCCAAGAGCTGCACTACATTCCCCTCCCTGTCATGTTCTGGGAACAAGGTGCTTCTTGAACCTGCAGGACTCCATGTGAAAACTCTAAACATTGCTCTAAGCACTGAACACTTACCTTCAGATGGCCAATCACAAACTTGTGAACCAAGTGGTTCCATTTGGATTTGCTGAACACTGAAAGGTGCCCGAAGTCATGCTGGAGCCACCCAGCCTGGGCCTGGAAGACAAAAGGGGTCATAGAGACAACATCCTGAACTCAGTGAGTTTCTGCCACAGAGTTCATTCTCCACCCGCAGC